GCTACATTTGCTGAGGCAACCATGACATTTTGGCTTCCTTTCCTTATGAGGCGTTATTCTAGTGACTTTATTAATCGATAAATTACCCCATAATCATTATTTGTGTGAAAACTGAAGAAAAGCTGCCTCTGGTGTTTATGACAGATGGAATCTGCAGTGAAACGCACAAGTAGGCTACATTTTGCAGAAATGTAGCCAGACTCACATGCATATTTCCAATGAGCCTGGTTGAAAATGTTCCATTAAATGCCGTCCAATGTTTTTATCTTCTGCCTAGAGGAGAATATGCCTTGTTTACAGCTGAATCAATGCCGCATAACTGAAATGTTAATTGTCGGGAATGGATGTGAGCCAGACAGGCTGGGAGCTTGTTAAATCCGTATCTGCGTGTTGGCACCATGAGTCAGTCCAGACATCAGTGCGATGCAGAATTGATTTAAGAGCCTCTCATCATATAGAACAGAGTCAGAGCTTATAATTGGCCAGTGAGGGTTTCCATGCTAGGCTGTTTGAGCCAGTAGCCCATAATTGTGAACAAGCGTGTGATATTTTGATCCACATATCCAAAGAAGAGGAGGAGGCATCTGGCAGATGATTCGGGATGAAATGCGAGTTTCATCACAATGTCCACTCAATGCGTCTGTAATAAACTTACGGCCCTTGCTGCATTGAAACGAATCCTCACCTGCATTGGCCCTTATGGACAATAACACACGCTCTTAAACCCAGCTAGACAGAGAAGCACAATGAGATCATTCTCTGTGACAACCATCGTTTATCGCAGATAGACACATTCCCGAGACTGGATGTGAATCTCGTCAACAGTAAGTCGATGTCATTGATTTGTAAGGGTACGGAGCCAGGGGCATAATTGAAGTTTGCAGCATGTTCCCCCTGTGTGTTCAAGTGTTTGACTTGTGGAGACAGAATACAGCAGGGGATACGCAGGTGATGGGAAAATCAAAGGCCAGCGGCTCCAGTGTTTGGAAAGGAATGTCAAAAAGTCAATTGCAGCAATGTGACCCAATCACAATCAATGCAACATGACAGTCAACTGCAGAGCTTTTCCTTTGGAGCCCAGCTACTAACATCAAAATTACAAGGACACAGGATCACTCTTAATGTCTAATGCCTGTCATTCTGGTCATGCATGCAATTGCAATTACAGTGACAAAATCAACTTGACTAGCATCCAATGGCACAAGATATCCTTACAGATGTCAGGTAATAGAGCACAGTAACTAAAAGTGTGTGACTGCCATCTAGTGTCACTATTTAGAAGTATCGGGGGAAATTTAGCTGTTTTGGAACACTAACTGGTTTCTTAGCTGGTTGTTGGCTTTTCTTACCATCAGGTGGTGAAGCTTTACGATTATTATTATTATTCACTTATTTACTGATTTTTTTTGTGTGACTTGGTTGTCAACAAGCTAATGATCAACATCTTAAGTGTTGTTGCTGTAGCAGGCCCTATATTTAAGGTAACTGGAGAGACTGAATGTGTGTTAAGATAATTATAACTGATTATATAAATATGTATATGTATTATTTAAATATAATACTTATTTAGTAATTATCCAAAGACAGGATGCATGCAAATATGGTGGCTTGCCTAATAATAATAATAATAATAATAATAATAATGCACTTTAAATGTGACTGGCACTATGTAACTGCCAATTGTAAGTATGGTTTAAATAATTAAGTCATCCATCCAGGAAATGTAGATCTTATAATCTAGAAATAAATGCTGGGATATTATGCGGAAAACGTAATGCACGCTGCCCTCTTCTGTCTGCTGCGTGCAATTACCGATAAATGTCTAGTGTTGTTAAAGGGTTAGTTCACCCAAAAATGAAAATTAAGTCATTAATTACTCACCCCCATGCTGTACCAACCCCGTAAGACCTTCGTTCGTCTTCGGAACACAAATGAAGATATTTTTGATTAAATTTGAGAGCTGTATAACTACCACATTGGCTCCTAAGGGACTGCCTCTTGACGGCCCAGAAAGTCAATGAAGAAAATGTTTAAATATCCCAAGTGACTACCGTGGCTCAACTATATGTTTATCAAGCGACGCGAATACTTTTTGTGCGAAAAAACAAACAAAAATAACGAGTTTATTCGACTATTTCTTTTCTTCCTTGTAGGCCAGAAACGAGACTTCCTTAGATTTCCACGACGCATGCGCGAGAATTGCGATCTGAAGTAGTGTAAGCTGGTGTAAGCAGATCGCAATTCTCGCGCATGCGTCGTGGAAATCTAAGGAAGTCTCGTTTCTGGCCTAGAAGGAAGAAAAGAAATAGTAACCCTTTAATACACACACAGACACACATATCACGTCACACATTTATTTATTTATGTTTTATTTATTTATTTATTTATTGTGCAACCAAGTTACCACTATTTTATTCTTTCAACACTATGTATATGGCAATGTAGCCTAGCTGATGTTCGGTTCGTAGTTTATGATATAGCTTCTTAGGTTATTGCAATATGTGAGCGACTTGGATTGTGACATTGTGACTTGCTTCAACTTTACTCTCCCTAATTGTATGTATGGTGTGACCTCGTGAAGTTCCACATAAACGTGAGGTTGAGTTCTGGGAGCTTACATTTACATTTTGTGTGCAAATAATGATAATTGAAAAAGCTGACACCCATCATTTCTAATAGGCCAAACAAATAAGATGAATGATAATGTAAGTACAGTACAGTGAGGCCATGCATTTATTTAAAAAGGCGTTGCACACGCACCCAGAGAGAGAGAGAGAGAGAGAGAGAGAGAGAGAGAGAGAGAGAGATTCTGATGTAGATAAATACATTAGATGATGCACACTTTAAAACGTTGGGCCGTTAAAGAGTCCAGGAACACTATTAATATTTGATAGGCTTTCTACATCAGGATTTAAATGAAAGACAATTGATTTATTCCATTTTATTTAGACCTAGTATTTAAAAAGCCATATAATAGTATTCAGCTTCACTGTATCGATCTACATGACCAACATCTCTTCATATACACAAACAAAAATATTTCACATTTATATTCATTCATTAAAAGAAAGGATAATGCACGTTTAAACATCTGTCTCAAACGTGCTATTAATGATGCTGGTCCGGAAGGGATGACGTTTCTTGTGACAAAAGCCGGTCTATACAAATATACACACGAATCCAGGAATCCAGTCCCTGCTGTTTGAGAAACACATGATGTCATCCCTTATTTCAAATTTTTTTTTTTTTTTTTTTTCATTCCTACACTGTTAAAATTTTCGTTGTGAATTTACAGTAAATAATTGGATAAATTTTGCATTACTTTCACAGTAAGGATTACAGTAATATAATGTGAAATATGCTCACAGCAATTTACTGTAATTTTATATCTGTGATATTACAGTACATTACTGGGGAATTACAATATATATATATATATATGAAGAGTTCAGATGCAAAAGCCTCTAAATGCCATTTGAAATTTTCTTCTTTAATAATGATTTTTATCAAACTTTTATATTTAAGTTCAGTAATTTCACCTAAATAACAATTAATAGATAAATATCATTGCCATTAAAGTGAAATTACTGAACTTAAATATACAAGCTTGATAAAAATGATCATTCTAGAAGAAAATTTCAAATGGCACTTAGAGGCTTTTGCATCTGAACTCTTCATATAAACACACACACACAATGTAACCCCCCTCCCCCTCCCCCCCCAACAACAAACAACTCTGAGGTTAAGTCAATGTTAGCCCAATGGCATATTTATTAACACATATGTTTCAATGTACAGCAAGAATTTAAGAAATTAATTTTTTTAGAATTTCAACTTTAAGATTGTTTTCATAAAAGCCATTTTAAAATGCAGAAAATGCAGAGACATTGTGCAAACTTTTAACTGTGGAGCCTGAAAAATACCACTGCTAAAAAACACTATGACGCCCACTCAAAGTCAATTAGTTTCCTCAATAGGGGGCTAATATGAGGGTTCATTGTGGTCCTCTTCTTGGTCTTCGATCCTCTTTCGGGATTGATGCCCAGGAAGCACCTGTTAATAAGCAAAGATAGTTTCAGTTCTTAACACTTTTCACTCGTGTTTGTTGTTCTAACCGAATCCTGGTCCAACGCACAAGGTGTGCACGGATCTACACTTCGGATTCTGACCGGGAATAGTAACGTTAGACCACCCGATAATCTTTGAAACACTTATTTCAACGTGCGATTTGGGACGTAAGTTACTAATTCTGTTTTCGAATACTATTTAGGACGGTTAGTATGTGAATTGGGCCGCAGAAATGTAAGTTATTAACTTAAACAGCTAACGGTTAGCCCTGCTAATCTATAATAACATTGACTAAGTACAGAAATGTGCACACATAAATAGTAATGTTTGTCCCATCACTGATTTTATAAACTCTACAAAAACCAGATTTGTCTAAACGGTGATAGACATGAAAATAGCAAAACTCGATCGTCATTACTAACTATTAGTATGCTGTGAGAACTTTCAACAATTCCGGGCAGCTGCTAACAAAATCTGAACTGTGTCATGCGATAAACGTTTATTTGAAAGTAAATATTATCATATTAAAATAAAATGGGTGTAAGTGCTGCAAACATGCATGCTCACCTTCTCCGTTAAGCCCGAAATAAAAGAGGCGGCGGGAGACGACGGAGCCTGCAACAGTTCGGTTATGTCACATGACTTCCCAGGGCATAGGCTACAGTATTTCACTGCAATAATACTGTTTGATGCTGTGAAATCCTTATTTTTTTTCACTGTGTTGCTGTGATATTACAGACCTTGCTGTGACATAACAGCAGGTTTTAAATTGCAATGTTTTATTGTAAAATAAGAGTTAAATGCTGTAAAATCCAAGGATATTGTAGTTTTTTCAGGTATTCATTGGGATATTACAGGGAAATGTAATCACAACAAGTTACTGTGAAATAATACTGTTAATTATTGTGAAATGCTGGTAATTTTTAACAGTGTAGGTCAAGTGTTCAGGGCACTGAAGCACATTTCCAAATATCACAGAGAGAGCACAAGAGGGAGACAAACTCTCACTTTAGAATTTAGTGTCAGGAAAATACTTTCTTTTATTATTGGGGAGCCAAACAGGCACAGGAACATCTGAAGTGGACACAGTGATTTGCTGTATTTTAATCAGTGTTTACGAGCGTGAATCTAATTGGGCAGAAACTACAATTACTGAAGTGGAACGACAATGATTTCAAAATTAAATTGCCTACACGGGCTGAACAGTTTTGTGTTGAGTTCAGTTTTGATTCAGTTCAGTTTTGATTCAGCCACAAACTACAGAATCATTACAATATAAAATATTAGAAATTTGTTTAACATATAATATTTGTTCAAAATATATTTGTTATTATTTATTTATATATATTCCAATTGCCAAAACCCGCATCCTGTTTGCTACCTTAATTCAAATACAGGAATCGAACTGGAATTCAGTTCCGAATGGTGCACACCCCCGTCATTCGCCCCTTCAATGTGTGTTAAATTCAGGCTGGTCTGCATTCCAACATCTTCTTGAATGCTTTTCTGAAGCTGTCGTCCAGGAAGGCGTAGAGGAACGGGTTCAGACAGGAGTTGGCGTAGCTCAGGCTGGTAATAAAGTACGAGATGCCGATGAGAAGCGGTGTGGTCCGAAGGTCTGTGGTCAGCGCTACGATGGTGCTGAGGTGAAAGGGCGTCCAGCAGAACAGGCACACGGCCAGTACAATAAACACCATGATAGTCACCTTCTTCTTGGCTTTGTCCAGCGCTTTGGCGTTGGTGTTCAGACGCATGTTTCTTAGTTTGTACAGCATCATGATGTAAAGAATGCAAATTGTAGACACCGGAATGGCGAAGCCCAGTATGAGGGTATATATCCGGCTCGCTTTGAACCATAAACTTTCAGGACTTGGGAAACTCAGCACGCAGCTTTTCCTGTCGAAGTCGTCGGGACTGATGTAGACTCCTGCGAAAACGGTGAAGGGCATGACGATGAGGATCACCAGCATCCACACGCACAGACTCACTATCTTGGCTGCCCGGTATGTGCGGTACGGCATGCGCTTGGAGCGCACGGTCGACAGCACCACCAGGTACCGGTCCACACTCATAACAGTCAGAAAGTATATGCTGGAGAAGATGTTATAGTGATCAATGCTTAAAATAATTTTGCAAAGCACCTCGCCGAACGGCCAGTAGTGTAACAGATGCTCCGCTATATTGATGGGGAGCACTAAAGTGAAGAGGTCGTCGGCTATCGCCAAGTTCAGAATGAACATATTGGTCACCGTCTTCATTTTGGGTGCTTTGAGTATCACATATATGACCGCCGTGTTGCCCGTGAGACCTACGGCACATATCACGGAGTAAATGACCGGGAGAACCACGTACAGATCTGCGTAAAAGAAGTAGTCAGCCGGCGGCGTGCAGTTCAGATCGCTCCGGTTGTGATAGTACAAGTCCATGCTGTGGTTGCATGTCGGGTTTGGGATGAAGGGACTCGTGATGTTCTCCATACTGTAACAACTGAGCCTCCGGGGATAAGTGCTTTACTTTATAAAGCTGCGCTCTCGCTTTCGCAGATCTCTCCACGAGTCTAAGGTGGTCTATGTTTTTCATCTGTCTCTTTGCGCGTCACGAGATCTGAGAGCGATACAATACATTGGCATCCTGCAGAAAACAGACTGTGCAAACAAATGTACGCTGAGAAACTTAGAACATAATGTGCAAAGTATGTATACAACTCAGAATGTAATCATTAATTTAATTAAAACAACATAGCATGCAGAAAAAATGTAGCCTATACATATACGAATTGCAAATGCTGCTTTTAAAAGCAAAGAAGCAACAGCTAACATTGAAAAGGTGCGAGGTCTTACCGTGTTGGATATTCTTTCTCCGTGCGCGCGCTGTGCCCTGTATGCGCCAGGCAGCGTAGCTCGCGCTTTCCCCAACAAGTAGGAAAGAAGTGCGACTGGTGACGTCACATTCTACCGCGCGCTCTCTGCAGATCCTTGAAAGAGTCACGCATTCTGTTTGATTGTTTATGTGTGGGTAGTTGACATGTCCTTTGGTAAATTATTTTAAACAGTAATTTTGTTATAATTATTAGCTATACATCTATTGCGATATAAGTAATAGAACATCTATTTAGAACATCAAATTGAAAGGCAAAAAGCTGTTTAAAATTGTGTGTGGGGATGGGGTGGAGGAGCAGTTACAGCATTTTAATTATAAAATGCACGTGTTAATATAATTTTGTGCCTAAAATTATGAAAAGCTCACCTACATGGAATGAGTCAAGTAAGTTGTTTTTTTTTTTTTTTTTTTTTTAACAAGCTAGACTATAGGACGTGTTGTCCAGCGATTGGCTGACTAAATCACAACCAGTTATCATAATGGTGAACCTTGTTGTGTTTACAAGTTGTAACTTTGGCTGTTTGGCAGGCATGAGGCGTTTTGGATAAAAGCATGAACACTTCTTTTTTGTCCCAGATATCGAAAATAGATTATGATTATTATGATTAGTATTTTTCACCAGCAGCTTTAGCAGAATTATTTCAATTAGTCTGCTTTTGAATTATTGGTACTATTTCTTGTGGAGTGGATGGTTCAGTGAGTTCATGCATGTGTAAGAAAACCGCTTAAAGGTCTTCTGAAGAAGTTAAATTCTGACCCACAGTATATTCACTCTGTTGCATATTCCTTTCTTCAGTGCCAATACAGGTTGCTACTCTTGAAGAGGTTATGATGACTAACTAAAAATGGTATTACAGACTACAGTGACTAAATATAAAGCTTTTTCTCTCTTTTCTCATATTCAACTTCATTCATTTGAGGTTTTATTTTTCAAATGATTGCGTTTGAATGAGTCCGTTCATGCAGGTGGTTGGCTGCTCTCCTTGATTTTGTATTGTTGAATTGATAGGATAAGGTTCTGCTAGTCATGACATGATAAAGCAGGTTTAATGGTGACCATGAGCTGAAGTCAGAGGACAAAGGTATTAATTGCACAAAAGCTTATTGTGAGAGGGGAATGTGAATTTAAGTCTAAGCATTATCTGATGTTGATTTCTAACGTGTTAATTAGTGAGGTGAAATAGCAGATACCCTGCTGTCATTTTAATTTCATCCTTTTTTAATTATACCCCTTGTGTTCCTCGTCCTCACTACCCCATGATTAAAGGAAAAGACCTCTTTGGCTTTGTGCGCCAGCACCCGATCTGCGGTGTCTCCCTGAAGAGCTTTATGAGCTGCATGAAGTAATGATAGTTTAGAGGGGACTTGTGTGACTGATTGGCTCGCTTTAAAACAATCAAACGAAATTGACTCATGATATTCCCAAGTGTCAAAGAGCTAATTACATGTGCATGCTGAGAAGAAAGATCCCAGGTCTGATAGCGCTTTAAAGGGATAGTTCACCCAAAAATGAAAATTCTGTCATAATTTACTGACCCAAGTTGTTTCAAACCTGTATATTGTTCCGTTGAACACAAAGGAAGATATTTTGAAGAATGTGAACTGTACAGTTCTGAGGCACCATTGACTTTCATAGTATATATATTTTTTTTAAATGGACGTCAACGGTGCCCCAAAGTGGCCTGGTTACAAACTTCCTTCAAAGTATCTTCCTGTGTTCAGCAGAACACAGAAATTTATGAAGATTTTCTCCTAAAATCTGCAGTGAACCAAAAACGCATTTTTAAATCGCTGGTGTTTCTGACGTCATAAACTACATTGTAACCAATCAGGGGTGCGTTTCCTGAAAGCATCGTTAGCCAACTATGGTCGCAAGTTCCGTCGTTATCTGCATAGTTAACACAGTCTCATCCCAAAAAGTCATATAACTGACGTCTTGGGACGTTTTTTGACCATACGTCAATATCCGCCTTTTTAGGGCCCCCTTAAACGTCGGTAGATGGCGATCCCGGGCCGTCATACAACTGACGCTTTACCTTTAACGTCAGTTAGGTGACGGGTAAGGTTTAGGGTTAAGTTTAGGTCTGGGGTAGAGTTAGGATAACCTCATCTACCGACGTTTAAGGGGGCCCTAAAAAGGCGAATATTGACGTATGGTCAAAAGACGTCCCAAAACGTCAGTTATATGACGTCTTGGGATGAGACCGGGTTGGCATAGTTCAACGAGTCAGTGTTTCCTGAAACCATCGTTCCAACGAACATTCGAAAACAGCATCGCAAAGTTGTGTGGTTTGAGCGACAGCTCTCGACCTGTGGTTAGAAGCATCGTTTCTATATTGCAACACATTTGGAGGTAATAAATCCTTATCTTGAGCATGATGAGCAAGCTGGCATTCAGTACAACCGGTGCCTTTTATTTAGAATACTTACAAATGGAATTTACGTCTTTTAGTTTGTCAAGAGATTTGAAGTAACGTGTTTGAAAAGTGAGCATGTGCGAACGTGCTCCACTATGTAAGAACGAGCCAAATATTGAGGCTGGTAATAAAGCAGAACAACTGAGAACAAGTAGAAATAGTCCTCAGATGACATGTCTGTAATTTATATAAAACAAATCTAGCGTTAATTGGATCTCAAACAGTTTCATTAAAAGCAGTTATTACTCCACCACGTGCGAAACCAACGTGGTTGAACGATACTTTGCGACAGTGGGTTTCGGGAAACAGTCGTGACTAGCTAGTTGAGTTTTCCAACGATGCATCGTACTATGGTAGTGAAGCAGTGAACTACGTCGTTGTACGGGAAACACACCCCAGGACAATGTGTGATCGTCAACAAGTGGATCTCTGAGCTGGTGTGAGTGAGTGGAGGTAGGACTAATTTGCATATTCATAGAACCGCGTATACTAAACGATGCAAGGGTGTAAAGATACATTCAATCTATTTTAAGGCATGAATAAATATTTTTTAAGGAAAAAAACACTTGAATATGTCATTTTGGTGATCAAATTATTGACTTCAGGGGGACTTTAAGATTAGTCACATTTGACAATATGTACCATGGCTACCAGAGTTTTAACCAAATAACCAAAAAGAGAAAAAGATTATGAAGGAGATCGGCACAAAATTTGGTTCCAATGTCATTTTTAAGGTGCAGGGATTGAAAAATTCCAGATAGTTTGAAATGCGGAGATGATAAGTCTAAATATATCCGGTAGATAAAATGACATGAGCTTGCGTTCTAGAAATAGTATCTAGAAGTTGTGTCTCTACTTCATTTGAACAGTCAAATCAGATGTTCTGATTCTCAGTGTGGAGTTTGTTCCATTATTCATGTGTAAGGATGAAGAGCTTTTTGGATGCGGAAATTTGTGAGATGCTGATGCGTAGGCGTTGGGAGCAAGGTGACGGTTTGATGATAGTTTCAAGGGAGCGGGGAGGTGAGCAGCATTTGGCGGCTACTGACAGCCATGAGCAGACTCATAGCATGCACAAATTAATGCACTCATACCATAAATCTATGATAATTGGACACAGTGATAAAATGGAATCATTGAGAATTATGAGAATTTGTGCATGCGACGAGTCTGCTTAGCCACACATGCCTACCTAATTGCTTGAAAAATTATCATCAAACCATTGACATCAGTAAACCCAAAACATTTTGATCTTATGGTTTTGGATCAGATTTACTATCAGCTTGTGACAGTACCAACCCTCTTTTGGCATTAAAGGGACACTTCACCCATTTGCATTAAGCTTTGTATCTTTAGAAACCCAGTCATATTTTTGAATGGTCATGGTTTATTCCCTTATTTTCCCCTGAGATGGGAGAAGTAAGGATTTAAGTGATTTACTTGCTGCTTATTATGACGTAAATCGTCATTTTGCGTCATAATAAGCAGGAAGTCACATTTCATTGAAAAGTGTATACTACAAACATTAGCTCATTATTATTCAAGGGGGTGGGACCCACTCACCCTACAGGCCTATTACAGATCAGTGGGTGGGACTTCACTTGCAGATATTGAAATCAATATCAGCCATCTTGTTTGGAAGCAAAGCTAACAAGCGCTGTGGAGATAGGAAGTGTGACAATGACGGAAGAAACTAAACATGTGGAATAAGAGGATTTTGAAATTCTGCTGCTCAGATCCGATGTTCGTGGCTATCTTTACGAGCCGCAGTATAGTAAAGAGCAGCTGAGGCCAAAACGAAAGCGAAACAACTGACGAAAGCCAGTCCCTAATTGACGGCTGCTCTCCACACACAACAGAAACAAAACACAACATAAAATCAGGCCTGTTTCTCTCTCAATCTGTTGTAGTCGCTCTTCCGTGAGAGGTGCGTGACCGGTGCGTGTCTCACAGGTGTCTTTCATTATCACCACTGGCCTCGCGCCGTCCTTCGCCCAGTCGCCCTCGTCCTGCTCGCCTCAGCCAACTAACTAGAAGTTTTGTGTGAAATGAATTTCACACTATGGTGACAGCAAACGTTAGCCTTGTAGACGGAAGAGTGATTTCTCTGTTTGCGCTGTTCTGGATTAATGGGTGTGGTTTGTGGAGCTTTACAATGTGGTGCATTCTGGGAGTTGTTGTCTTACATACAAATGGGCCCTTCAGTTATTTTCTGTCTTTTCTCAATCAAGAGGGCACCAAATTCAAAAAACTATTTTACATTTCGACTACATATATGATCCACTTTCAATAAAGATTAATGTTGAAATAGGTGAAATGCTCCTTTAAGAAAAAAAAAAACAGCTGTAAGGATTTAGGCACACAGTAAAAAAATGAGCACTGAAAATGCATGGACAGGGTTCTTTTTGTCCGCTGACCTTTATTAGTTTTACCTTTGAGAAGCAAAAAAAAAAAAATGTATGGGAGAAGAGTATTTAAATGATTAATGCAAGGAGATTTACTAAATCAATTTATTGGTATTTTCACCATTATTTGATGCCCCAATCCAAAAAGCATGTTTTAAACCAGACACTATTTGCCCTGCTCTTGGTAGATTGCATTGATCTTTACGGAAATGAT